CAACCTCCTAAGCCCCAGTCTAATACATTGTGCTTTATATCACACTGCTGCTTTCACAACCAAGAACTCCTCTGGAGAAAACCCCAAGCACTGGCTGCCCCAGGAGTAAATACTAGGTCACATGAGAATTGGAGATGAGAGCAAAAGGATTAGCATAGTCATCTAAGGAAGGGCTGGCCTACATGTAGTTGGATTTTGGGAAGAACCAAAAGCCCCTCTTTTCCCTCTGGCATATCAAACCTATCAAAACCCTTTGTTTCCCCAGCTTGCTAGAGTGCCAGAGGTCTTCACCATTTATGGTTCCTTTTCTTTTTGTTAGAGGTTTTGTCTCCTGAAGGCCCCCTGAACTATTTGAGGCTAATTCTGAATTTGTAAAATAGGGCTGGGATGGATGATTCCCTAAGGCTCCTTCTAGCTTGGACATTCTATAGTTCTATGATTCTTGGGATCCAGGAGGGTTAGACATTAAGGCACAGTCACCCATTAACACCTCAATGGGCTTAGTTTATTTCCAGGAGGACTAGGATTTAGGACAGGTAAACTTTAATGATAAGGAAGGATCAGTGAGCAACTCGAGGGTATTAAGATTCAAATATGATATCCTAGGTAACTTGAGAGCATTAAATACCTGGTAGGAGGGGATGCTGAAAGAGGGATAGAGGTACCCTAAAGACAGCTTCTGTAATGGAAAGTGCACTGACTCTAGGAGTCAGAAGACCTGATCTTCTAGTTCTTGTTCTGCTACTAAGTATCTGTGTGACATTGGAGAAATCTTTCACCTCTCTGAGCCTCAGCTTCCTTCTCTGTACAATGGTGAAAACAATCTCCTGCTTTTCTCAAGGGGATATTAGAAGGATCTAAGGAGAGAATGAATGCTAAGACCTTGGAAAAGGGCTTTGCAAATATATCTGTTATTCTTACTGTCACAGTTAACTAAAACCTTCTTCCAGAACACTGGACCCTGAAGAGACTATTGAAAAATTATTCCTTCCAAACAGCTTCAGGCCTTCGGGATTGATCCTGGTCTTTGGTGCCTCGGGTCTAAAGAGACAAGTTAGGGAGTACCAGATATTAGGGGTCGCTCTGTCTGCAGCAGAAAAGCATCCTCATCCCAGGAAGGCCAGCATTGTTCCCCAATGCCTATCTAGGGATAGAAAGTGGAGGAAAGAAGTGAAATCAAGATGTTGTCTTAGCAACTCGGGGATCTCTAGAGCCAGCTTCCTCAGGTAGGCCTAGGCATGTTTGCATAACAAAGGGAGATCTGGGCTCAAAAGAACCCCAAGGCTAGGGAGAGTCTGTCTGTTCATTCTAACCAGCTGTTTCTACACAAGTTCCCCCATAGGAAGTGAATTAATCTGGCTGAGGTTTGTTTTTCTTTTCTTCTGATTACTGTTCTCACACTTTCACCTTTCTAGCAAGTCTAGAGGTTCTAGAGTGCATTCCTCTAGAAGCCTGGCTTCTAGATGCCAGGTCATGAGAAACTCTCTTTCTTACATTTTTTTTTTTTTTTAAACATACCTCCCCTGCCAAATTCAAGCAGGGGCTAAAGCAGCTAAGGAGAGCAGAGGCCTAATGTAATACCTGCCCTAAAGAGTAACAGAGGCTGTGTGTGACTTAATGAGGCTGAGAACCACCAACTAATCCCTTAAGTATTTTGAAGAGTAACCTGAGATAATCTTGCTTGCAAACACCTGTTTTCATCCCATTTGTTGATAGATATATTAAAAAGAAATAGCATACTGGTAAATGACCATAGAATCTACAGGGGTGGAATAAAAGTAAATGCTCTTTTAACAATCTGGCAATACCTATTGGTGTTGAGCCAATCATACAACCCTTTTAGAAACTTAATTTGCCATAAACATATTCCCATTTATATACACAGTCACAGGGATCCCATGGAAAGTACCTTGGGTTAGGGGCTGACCTCTAAGCTAGAGAGCTATGTTTTAGTCCCACTTCTGCCACACAATTTAGTCCAACAACATTTATTAAGTGCCAATTAGGTGCTAGGCATCTGGTAATATATGACAAAAAATTGAAAAAAATTGTCCTTGTCCTCAATGAACTTACATTCTGTGAAGACTTGGGCAATTTGTTTAACCTCGTTTTGCATCAGTTTTGACCTCTTGTAAAGTGGGACTAATAACATCTTTCCTGTCGACTTCTAAGGTTGTTATGAGAATAAAATGAGCTAGTAGGGGTAAGACCCTAGGGTATTATGCATACCAACTAGCTTCTCATACCTTGAAGGTGAAAGTTAGATATAGTTAGGCTTTTTTTTGAGGAGCAGACCAAGTGCCAACCCTGTGAAACTGACTGATCATGTTCTAATCATTTAGAACTGCAAGTCTCTGCCTCGGGTGGCACAGAAGATGTTGCCAGTTTGTTGGAGAATCAATTCTCAGCTGGAGACCCAAGTCTAGAGGAGGAGAGGGCACTTTATGCAGAACCAGTCCCTCCAGAGAAGAATCTGCAGCTCCATTACACAGATGACAGTGAGGCTGAGAATTGGGAGAGGAGAGAGGCTGGGGGGGAGCCCGGGCCCCCTGTTGATGCTGAAGGCCACCACAGCCCTGCTTCTGACCCTGAAGCCAATACCTCTGCCTTAGAGTCGGCTCTGTCCTGGGAAGCTGGAAGGGAAGAGGAAGCCCCTGAAGAAGCAGGAGCTCTCCCTGAAGAAGGAAAAGAGGCCTCTCTGGAGGAAAAGCAGCAGGAACTCAAGGAGGGAGATGATGCAGTAGGGCAAGAGGCAGAGGCTAGCTCTGAAGATGAAAAAGGAGGACCCCTGGAGGAAAAGCAGCAGGAGCTTATTGAGGGAGATAGTTCAGAAAGGGAAGGGGTTGGGGCTAGCCCCTTGAGTGGGGAGGTGGTGACTGAGGGAGGCCCAGAATCTTCTAGTGCAGGAGAGACTGGAGGCCCAGATGAAGAGGGAGGGAAGGCCGCTGAAGATATAGGAGAGGTCCCAGAAGATGCCCCAGGAGAAGAGGAAGTAGCAGCAGCAGAACCTGAGTCCTCTCCCAGCTCAGAGCATGGTGGTGGCCAGGTTCCTCTGAGAGAAAATGGAGACCAAGAGTCTAGAGAGGCCCCAGGAAACAAGGAGACAGAAGTGACCCAGGAAAATGAGTTACCCAAGGCTGATGCTGATGCAGAAGGACCTAAGGAAGGAGAACAAGAGCTAGAGGCTGGAACAGGAGAAGTGACTGAGGCCCAGGGAGAACCCCAGGGAACCTTGGAGGAAGATCAGAACCTAGAGGGCTCAGCCGCAGCCAAGGCCAGCGGCAAGGCAGAAGATGCCAAGAGCTCTGGTGCAGGACAGGAGGCTGAGTTGCCCTCTCCTGAAGGTCAGACTTCACTAGTAACCAGCCAGGAGCTGGAGGAGTCATCCTCTGAAGAACAAGGAGAAGAGGAGGAGGAAGGACAACAGTCTGAGGAGAACTCTGAAGAAGATGCTGGGGAAGTCAGCTCGGAAGAAGAAGGGGATGTTTCTGGGGAAGCTTCGGCTGCCCAGGAAGAGCCAGGAGCCATAAGCCATGAGGATGAAGAAGCCAAATTGGATCCAGAGGAGGCAGCCTCAGCTCCTGAAGAATCAGAAGTTCCAGCTTTCTCAGGCAGGTGGCAGGGTGAGGGGATTCTGACAGTTATCCCCTAAGGGGAGGAAGCCTAGTATCTCTAGGTTGAAATAGGGCTCCAGTCCTCCCAAGTGTGTGGCATTTGCTCTTGGCCCTGTATGTAGGAAGGAATAGAGGGAGTGAGGATGGGGAGTGAGGTCCCCTGAGCTGGGAATCTTCACTGGTGCATGACTCTGGAGGCTAACATGAGGCTCCCCGTAGTCTCAACTAGGAAGTTTTGCAGCTGGGGCAAGCATTACAAATTGCTCATAAAGCAAGAGGAAAGAAGAGCTCACCCAGTTTTGGTGGGGAGCAAGGGGGTTTGAACAGTACCCTGTGCGGTGAGGCAGGTTTCCTGGTGAAACTGCAGGCCACTGCTGAGCCAGCTGACACATGCCTTCCCCTGTCCTAGCGGATAGAGAACTGGCCTGGAAATTAGGAAGATCTGAGTTCAAGTATCACCTCTGACATGATCAAGTTAGATGACTTTGGGCAAGTCACCTAACCTTTTAGCACCCCAGGCAACTCATCAGGATTATAAATTACAGAGAAGGTGCCTACCTGCCTTGGTAGAGGGAATTTCCTGTATCAATGAAATCACAGTTCAGGCCTTATTCTGTTTCTCTACTATATTCTTGATAACTAGGTTCTGAGGTCAGGTGTTTTTGTTTTTGTTTTTGTTTTTTTAAACTTGGCATCAAAAGACCCACTGTATTACTGAGGGTGGGGTAGGGGGGTGCAGTTGCAATCCTTACAGCCAATAGAGAATTATTTTTTTAACGAATGGATTAAAAGAGAGCTTGAAGGCACTAACACCCCTGCCACACCCACCCCAAACAAAAACAAAAAACAAACCAACCAATTCCTAGCTCCCAAAGTATTATGTTAGGTCTCAAGATCTTAGGTATCATTTACTCCAAATCAGTTATTTTAGAGGGGAGAAAACTGAGGTCTTCAATAGGGGAAGTAACATGTCCAATGTTACAGAGTAAGGAAGGCTCTGAAATTGAGGGTGAGCTGAGGTCAAATCATGGAACTCAAATCTCTTAAGAATCATAGTATTAGAGTTGGAAGGGCCTTGAAAAACCACCTTGTCCAATCCCCCTCATTTTACAGAGGAAAAAGCAGAAGCCTAATCTGTATCAAAGCAGGTGTCCTGACTCCTCCTAGTTCTGTGTTCATTCAGCCAGGTTACTAAGGTTTGGGTGAACCAGCTCATCTGGAGTACAGGACCCTAGTCTCATTACTTAGGATGAGAAGCTGAAAAGGGGGGAGCCCATGGTCCTTCTGGGTATATTCTGCCCCCAATTTTACCAAAGTGGTAGGCTCTCATAGGAAGGAAAATTTGAGGAGTCTGCGGTGTGTGTGGGAAGGGCACAAATGTTAGAGGGAAGGAAAAGGTTTCTGGGATTGAGAGGGCAGCTGCATCCACAGGGAGGCACAGTCCCCCAGCTAAGGCTGAGGTATGTATCCCTCTCCTGCCTTAACTTGCTTACAGCTCCTTTTGCCAGGAAAGTTTGAAAAGCCTGGGAGGGCAAAACTTTGAAACAAGGGTCCCTGGGATAGGGTAGGCAAAGGTATGTTCAGGGAAGGAATGATCTACCAGCAGGCACTGAGGTGCTATCTCCCCTTCCTTCTCTTCCTCAGCAGAAGGTGCTAAAGAACAGCTCCTTCGGAGCCTCACTATCTGGGCTGACCGCTGATGGTTTCCATGCTACCCCCCTGCCTGTGAGACAGTTCTGTTCTTCTTAGTACTGAGGGGATTGGTTCACTGAGTCAGGGCTAGATCTCTCCCCTCATCCCTTGGCCCGTGAGAGCTTAGACCTCTCCCCTCTTTCGAAGGCTCTTCTTTTGCAGGCACCTTTTTGTTGTCTGCTCTTCCCTGCTGCTTCTCTGAACTTCCTTGGCCTTCTTCCTAGGGGAGTACAACTGGTTTAAATTTCCTGCCTTGAGGCAAAGAGTTTTAAGGAAAGAAAATGGATAGGAAAATGCATTCCTTGCAGGAATGGGGATTGCTTGGTTTGGGAAAGAGAAGGCTGGAGGCAAGCTGGGAACTGGGAGAGGGAGTAGGCAGTTAACAGGAAAAAATATGTGGAGGAATGTGGTATATAGATGGTGATCAGCAGCTGTTCTCTAATTTTATTGAGGACAGAGAAAAGGAAGCAGGTTTTAATTTGTAGTTTGATAGATTTAGGATAGACTTTAGGTAGGTGTGGCAAACTATAACACCTTCTTTTCTGGAGGACAGCCAGCTGTGCAGTTTTGCCCCAAGGTGGGAGGATGGTCCAGACAGCTCTGGTTGTAAGGTATTTTCCTGACCCATAAACCATAGAGGGCTTGGCTCCTCTGATTCCAAGGCAGACTGAAGTTAGCTAGAGCAAGTGACTGGGATGGTGTAGACCTAAACTCCCAGACCCTCACTCGGAAGTTATCAGATCATAGATCTAGAGCTGTAAGAGGCCTTGGAGGCCACCTAAGTATCAGAATCAAGTCTGAACCCAGGGCTTCTTGAGTCAAGATTCCATCTACTACACCATGCTGCCTCTCAAGTGATACACTTTCCAGCAGAACTATAACCAGGAATGGGTGGGATGATCAGACCTTCCTCCCAGGGGAGATGAGGATAGCCCTTTAAGTTCTTCAGTAGTGTAAAAACAACTGAGTTTAGTACCTCCTTAGGAAAAATGATTAGTTTTTCTCCTCCTGGCTAAGCTAGTTCCTCGATGGCCTGGCACCACTCTGCTCCTGGCCTTTGTCCTCCCCACTCTGAGGTCTACTAAACTCCTCAAGGTGTAGCATTGTCTCTGCAATCTCTATCCCCTCCCTCCTCCCCTTCTCCAATTGAACGGAAGTATCATTTCAAGTGACTTGCTTCAGGCACATCTTGTCCTAGTCATCAACCTTGCTAGTTGTGATTCTGCTCTCCAGGGTGGCCCTCTTAGCTAGTGTGGTCTCAGGGGTTACTTAATCTAGGATCCAGGTAGACCTGAGGCAGCTTTGTACATTTGCCAAGGAAAATGGTGTGCGACAGTTACCTGGCTCCCTTAATCAGGGGCCCAGAGTGGCAGACCACAGACCAGCCTGATTTCTTCTCTCTCTTTCCACCTCTGTTCCAATGTACACATGCAGTCAATCTGCTGCATTGGGGATGGGGCACTTAAATAAGCCAGTCATCCCGAAGGACTCTGTCTGGTCATAAGATTTCAAAATGGAGAAAGGAGTAAATGAGAAGAGTTCCTTTGCCTTAACTTCTCCAAAGTCCCATTCCCTTCCCAGTCTCCTGCTTCTCTGAGGGTAATGCACAGATCTCCTTTTAGTTGCCTTAGTTGGTCTGGGGGACTACTTTCTGATTTTCAAGCCTGCAACTACCTATTCTTATAAACTCATCCTTGATGGTATGTTGATGGGTATTCATAGATGGACAGATGGGGAGGGGGAAGAATAACCCTCATTCCTAATCACACATTTGCATTTTAACCAGGACCATCTGAATAAAATGCCTGATCATATGAGTGATTTTAATGATGTGTACTGGATGACATCACAGGAAGGTGAAAAAGAGATATTTTTAGGCAGAAGGGCATTAAGTGCCATACCGCAGAGGCAGAGGCAGAGGCATAGGACTGGGCCCCTAACCAAGATGTTCTGTACTCAACTCTAACTAGCTAGCTAGCCATTGTTAAACTTTCAGTGTAGGTATAGACGCCTTAGAAATTGGCAATCCCTACAAATCGGGGCTTCATTTGTTGTTTTGTTTATTGTCTATACTTAAGAAAGTGTTAATAATACAAATTAAAAGTATGTGTTTACATTTTTTCTTCCTCTTCTCCATCCCAGCCCTGTTGTTAAACATTTACTAGCACATGCCTTATTGCTCTATAAACATTATTTGAGCTCGGCAGGAGGACAGTAGAAGGCTCATGAAATAAAGTTATCACCAGATTGGAGGCCTGGTGACTGTATGCTGATAATAATAATAACTGTTATTTGTATAGCTCTTTAAGGTTTGCAAAGTGTTTTACATCCACTATCTCATTTAAGCCTCACCATACCTCTGACCTGTAGGCTTCGTTTTTACCCAACGTGCTCACATCATAGTATCATATATAGATTGAGAGCTATAAGGAGCCTCAGAGGCTATTGTCTAAACTCCTCATTTTATGAATGAGAAAACTGAGGCTCAGAGAATTTAAATGTCTTGCCCATGGTCACACAGCTAGTAAGATAAAATGTATTCATTTCATTTTGTCTGCTGTCTTTTTACGTTAGTACTCTTTTGCTTACTCTGCACATTGTGCCCACTGTGCTTAGTTGTACATAAAGCACGGTGTACATACATGGTGGCCATGGATAGAGCGATGGACCTGGAGTAAGGAAGGCCTAACTTCTAATTGGGACTCAGAAGCATAACCAACTGTATAAACCTAGGCAAATCACTTAACCTCTGGCTACTTCAGTTTCCTTATCTATACAATGGGGGTAATAATAACATCTATCTCCCAAGGTTGTTGTGAGGATAAAATGAAATAATATTTGTAAACTTTAAAGTATTATATAAATACTAGCTATTGTTATTAGTATTGTTACTGGTAGTGGTGGTAGTAGTAGTAGTAGTAGTAGTAGTAGTGGTAGTACCTGCTTCTCCCTCTGCTTACTCTACCCAGCTATATTAGTTCTTCTCTGCCCATAGTATCCAGCCAACCTCACAGAGCTGTTCTGAGTACAGCATTCTGTAAACCTTACAGTGGCTTATAAATATAAGGTATTATTGTTATTTATTTCTCCTCTGCTGCATGTAGCCGTTTTGCTTCCCTCATTGCCTACTGTGCTTGGCTAGATTTATTCCTCTGTGCAAGGTTTAATTGATTTCCTAATAACCTGCTATGCCTGGTTGGGATATAGCCCTTGTTTCTTTTTAGGTTTGCTATATATCACCTGCCCTCTCAAACCTGGGGGGCTATTGTGTCACTAAAGGTGTGGCAACTCTAGGTTAAATATTGAATTCCTCTCTACTCTTCAGCCTTAATCCCATTCTTACCTTTACTAACCCAGTCATAAAGTCCACAGGTCAAATTCTCTCAACCCAAATATAATTGAGGTGTTGTAGAGGGAATTCCTGCTTCAGGTAAGGCTCACAGATGACCCTTTGGTGATTTCAATACTGGGATTTTAGAGTGAGACTCATAGGATAGAGATCTGGTGAGTTCCTGGAGTGTTATCAACTCAGTGCTCAGTGATATAGAGAATACAAAAGAAGGATGAGAGAGGAGCAAAGGCATCAAAGTCACAGGGGTAGGCTGCATGTGCCTGAAAAACTCCCTAGTGTAGTCTGAACCAGATTAAAATGTAATTGTAACATGGATGTTAATTTATGGTTTTCTAAGTCAATATGGGGCTTGTAGAGATCCATTTCTATTTCTATTTGAGTTTGACACTGATGCCCTGTAGGATCTTTAAGTGTAGTTTAAGGTTTCTTATTTATTGTGGGGAATAGTGAGTCCCTGAGATCAGCCCAGACAAGGTATGGGGAGTTGATGGTCATCTCTGTCCAGCCCACAATTTTGACTGCTGTCAGAATGTTGAGAATGAAGGGGCCAAAGCCGGCCAGAGAGAGGAGCTGAGGCTATCAAAGGAAGAAGAGAGTGGGGAAGAAACTCCCAGAATCTTGGGTCTAGTTCCTGGGGGAGGACTGGTCTCATGCCTGAGATACTAATGCCCTGCTATGCCTTTCTTCCCAGAAGAGGCAGAGGATGTAAGTGAAGCACCCATAAGGGACCGTTCTCATATAGAGGAAACCCTGATGCTGAAGGAGGACAAGCCATCTGATGACTTTTCAGGTAAGGAGGGTAAGGTTAGGATGAGCTTCAAGGAGAGGAAAGAGTGCCCAATAAAGACCACTGGGAAGTACATGTATCAAGGTTACATACAAGCAAATGTGGTCAGGGGCCATGTCTATACATTTTGAGGGAATTCACAATAAATAGAAAGATGAATTGGGATTGTGGAGCCAGGTTATCTTCATTAATCTGGAGCCTGAAGGGTGAAGGCATACTTTAGAGAGGCAGGTAAGAGAAGGGGAATGTTTCAAGCAGGGGAACAGTATAAACAAAGGTGTAGTTGGAAATGCACGTAACACATTATGCTCCTATAACAGTCTCTACGGCAGCATTGGAATCATCCTCATGCAGGTGGCCTCAGTGATTGGCCCTGACAATTGTTATTCAACCAATCAGTCAAGAACTAGGCTTGGAATGTCTCTTGACTTAGCCCTAGAGTCCTTTTGATCTCCAGCAGGATGTCAGAACCAGAAACACTGTTGACCTCATGAGAACAGTGGGGAGAGAATGCCTACTGGGTATAGGATATGCCCTCATGGGACTTGCAGTCCAGTAAAGGGATAAGACCCAAGTACAAATAATCATAATATATACTATTGCATGGTGAGTTCATTGGAAAAGTGCCATGTGATGTCAGAGGGAGAAATTCTTTACTGACCAGGAATCTGGGTGGCCTATTCTAGTGACTTATATGCAGCTGAGTTTAATTTGGTCTGCTAAAAAGACAGGAAAAACCTCACAAGGAAAGGATTTCAGCAATGTTCTCCAGGATCTGATTTCTTAAATTTTTTATTATGTCAAATAATTCCTCTACTGAAATCTGTCTTTGAAATCTCATTGTGGTGTAAGAGATGGAAAAGAGTAAGATGGGATTCCCATTTATTATGGGATTTCTTTGGGGAGCAGAAGTCCTTAAGTTAAACCATCCCATTCCTCAGAAGGTGTGGGCTGAAGGGTGCCCATCCCACAAAGGCGTGCCAGGTAGGCAGGAAATTCAGTCAGGCTGGGCCTTTCCAAATGGAGCTTTTAATCCAGAAGTCAGGGATTGGAACACACTGCTGAGAGGATCTTTAAAAATAGATCTGGGAGGCTTGAGAAGTTTTGGCCTAGAGGCAGAGGGATGGAGTGAATGACTTTCTAGCCTGAAAAATTATATGATTCTTTGTTTGGAAGTGTAGTTGCTAGATGGAAATTTACATCAATGGGATGAGGAATATGATTATAATAACCAAGAGCTCCCCCTGCCCTCCATCTGTGCAAATGATGCAGCCTAAATAGATATGGGGGGGGGGGTTCTCTGGAAAACCGTGGCTGTTCACAAAGTAGTTATGATGTGGTCACCCAGAGGATTGGTGTGTTGACTCTACATTGGTATTTTGAAGCAGGTTGGAGCCTGTCTGGTTTGATCCTTTTCCTTTCTCTTCCTTGGCCCCTAGGGGTGATGCAGCGGTTGAGAAAGATCTACCACTCTTCCATCAAACCTCTGGAGCAATCCTACAAGTACAATGAACTGAGGCAGCATGAGATTACAGGTAAACTGATCATATGAAAGGTCCTGGGGCAAGGGCCCTAGAAGACCTAGGGCTCATGGGCTAATCAGGAAGCCTTAGCCTGATCTCCTAACCTTCCTTTGGCATCAGACACAAGCACCAGAATTCTGCTTAGAGAGCTGGGTCCAGGGGAGCTCCTAGGGAGTCCACCCAGAAATGAAGATCTAGAGATATAAGGTCAGAAGTTTTACTTCATTAATCACCCAGGTTGTCAACCCCTAAACTAAAGGCCGGTTTCCTGCTCACTCTATGTAACGTGGGCCCAATTTCATGAGCTGGCTACAGGTGCAGAAATTCACTTTTTACCTTCTCTTTTTTCCCCACTCCTTAATCCCCTCACCCTCGTTCATCCTTCCTTGGGGCAGGTTGATCTGCTTCCACTGAGGCTAACTCCTGAATGGGCTCTGATTCTAAGTGCCTATATTAATAGCAACATTGTCCAGACGCTAGGGAAGTAGAGACTAGGGACTCCTTGACTGGGTGAGGATTCACTTTTTGGACTTTACTTTCCTCTTTCTGGTCCCTAGCATTCCTCTGGCGTGCTTCCACTGCGAGCAACATACTCTCGTCCAGGCTTTACTCTATCCAACTCTGTAGTGTCTCCTGCTTTGATGTTGCTGTGACTCTCATGCCCTCTGGTGTAAAAAAGCTGAAACAACAATGTCCCTTCCCCAAATTTCTTTCTCCAGTGAATAACTCTAATTATAGTCTATCTCCCAGGAGCCCACAGTTAATGTTGCCTCAGTTTCACTGGGCTGTGTCTAAAAACAGAAGGTCTTTCTTTATGTGAGCTACCCTGGGAGGGAGAGTAGGTATAGAATCCCTCCTCCGAAAGCAGATTCTTTCTTCCACCCGGCAGAGACAGATACTCCTTAGATGAGTACCAATACTGGTCGATCAACCCCTACTTATTGATCCGTTACTATAGGCTTAGTACTGTACACAAGGAAACGGGAAATACACACCGAACCCTTAGCTTTTGTATTGGTGTTGTTCTTCAGTCATTTTCAGTCATGTCCGACTCTTTGTGACCCCACTTGGGGGTCTTCTTGGCAGAGATACTGGAGTAGCTTGCCATTTCCTTCTCTACCTCATTTTATAGATGAGGAAACTGAGGCAAATAGGGTTAAGTGACTTGCGCAGGGTCACATAGCTAGTAAATGTGTAAGGCAAGATTTGAATTCGGGAAGATGAGTCTTCCTGCCTCCAGGCCTGGCACCTCATCCACTGTGCCACCTTAGCTTTGATGCATAGCTTTTAACTAAAATATCATTATATATGCAACTGTACCAACAACTTTTTTGAGCACCTGCTATCTGCAAGAATTCTATTCATTATGAGGGATGGAAGGGAGTGAGATGGGATTCCCATTAACTATAGGAAATTATTTTTCGGCAGAAGCCCTTATGTTAAATTGTTCCACTGCCCAGAAGCCCTGGACTGAGTGGTCCCCATCCTATAAAAGGGAGCTAGGAGGGCAGGAGCTCTGGACAGTCTAGGCCCCTTTGGTGCAGCTCTTAATTCAGAAGTCAGGGCTGAGCCTTGCTGCTGAGGGGCTTTTTAAGAACAAGTTAGGAAGGCTTTCAAGAAGGTTTTTCTGTCTCCCAAAGCCATATAGCAAACACTTGAGTCCTGAGCTATGTGTTACTGATTCTTAGTGCGGCAGAATTATAGGAGCATGGCATCATAGGGGACCTCAGAGACCATCTAATCCCACCCACTGATTTTACAGATGAGGAAACTGAGGCTCAGGGAGGTTATAGGAATTACCTGCCAAGGTCACACAGGTAGTAAGCGGCAGAGGTACAGTTTGAACCCAGGTTCTCTGACTCAAAGGTCAGTGCTTTTTTGTAGGATTTCAGAGAAAGAAGAGATCAATAAGGATTGAAGTAGAAAGTCAAATACTTTATGTCTGCAGATCAGAAGTTCAGTTATAGGGTTTTGAGTTAAAAGGGGATCTTGGAGATCATCTAGTCTAAACCTCTTCATTTTATCGAGGGGAAAGCCAAGGCCCGGCTGAGGCAGGACTTTCTGTGAGGAAGACTTCCCTGATTCCTAGATTTACACAGGAGCTCCCACTCCCCAAGTAACCAGTCTTCAGTGAAGAATTGAAGTTTTTCTCTCCTTCATTCCTTTAATGGATCAGTTATTCCTCATAAGAAAACTGGACTAAGGACCTGCCATACTGGATCAGCCCCATGGTCTATCCAGTTGAGTTTTCTGTTTCTGACAGGGACATTAAATTATATTCATGAAAGATTGACTTCTTTCTTGATAACAGTCTTGAAGGGTAATTAAGGAAATACTAGTTCATATTTCTAAAGTATCTCCCATTTTTTAAAGTTCTTTCCTCATGACAACCCTGTGAGGCAGAGTATTATCATCATCCCCATTAAAAGATGAAGAAACTGAGAATCTAGGTAGTATATAATTTGCTTAGGGTCACATTCCTAGTAAGTTCAAGAGTTGGTACTCACATCTTCTCAAATCTTCAAATCTTGGGACCAGATCTTCTTATCAGTCCAGTGCTGTTTCTATCACACCATGTTATCTCACTAGAATTCCTTAATAAAGGGCTGTGGACTTACTTCAATGCATCTGTGATCTTACCAACATGGGTACTTTTTCCAAGGGTACAGTTTGTAACTCATTCATGACTTCTCATTTTGTGTGATTCTTTTCCATGTTTTCTTATAGAGGATCTAACCAATGTGTTGGAGGTCTTCTTCTTCTTCTTTTTCTTCCGCTTCTTCTTCCTCTTCTTCTTCTTCTTCTTCTTCTTCTTCTTCTTCTTCTTCTTCTTCTCCTTTTACTCCTCCTCCTTCTCCTCCTTCTCCTTCTCCTCCTCCTCCTTCTCCTTCTCCTTCCTTCTCCTTCTCCTCCTCCTCCTCTTTCTCCTCCCCCTCATTTTGTGGGTACCATTGCAGCACTCAGGCTGTCTGTTATCCCTCATTCTTGCTATATAACTGATTCATCTCCTTTTCCAATGATAACTTTTCTGAATAATACCCCTAGGTTATCTTTGGAAATCTGCTGTGGCCTATTTACATATATCATCCATCTTTCCATTACTTTTTGGATTTATAGTTTTTATTTTTTGGGGACTGTGATCTTCCAAAATTTCTTAGAACACAGGTGTTAAACTGTTTACCCATCTTAGGGTTTTGGGTGTTTTTGTTAAAGAGCAGCTTGAGATCATTGAAAGCACTATGCAATTTCTCAAATTCATTTGTCTGCTCTTTTCCTCCTTTCCAGTTCTGGACTTAGGTTCATTTACAACATACATTCTAGGTATATGCATAGTGTAGGTTGTAGACATGCTCTCCTTTCTTTTGCATCTCCTTAACAAGGTGTGAACTCTCTTCATCTTGGGACCTGGGTATTCCACAGACCAGACCAAGTATACCTGGAGATTATCTATACTGGAGACAACAGATTTTTGAAAACATTGAGAAATTGTTTCTTTAAACATTTTTCTTTTTTATCTTTATGAATCTGACAAACATTAAAAGTACACATTTTAGGGGTAGCTAGGTGGTGCAGGGGATAGAGCACCAGCCCTGGGGTCAGGAGGATCTGAGTTCAAATCCAGACTCAGACACATAACACTTACTAGCTGTGTGACCCTGGGCAAGTCACTTAACCCCATTGCCTACCCCTACCCCCCCAAAAAGTACACATTTTCATATACAAGGAAGAACAAAGAAGGGAGAAATTGATAAATCTCATATACAGCTTAGGTTTTTAAAAAGCATGTATGAAATTTAACACAGTAGTTATAACACTATCCCTTTATGAACTTCCTTCTGCTTTCTTCAGAGTATTTTAAAACATTTCATTGATATTCTTTTCTTCTTTTTCTGGCATCAGTGTCACTATCCATATCAAGTCCTCCCTTGTAACAAATAAGCATAATCAAGTAAAGCAAATCCCTACATTGTCCAAGTTTGAAAATGTATGTTTCATTCTGTACCTCTAGTTAGTTACTGCTCTGCCAGTGGGTGGGAAGCGTGATTCATCAGTCTTCTGGAGTTGTATTTGGTCATTGCATTGATCATTGATCTAAAGTCCTTCAAAGTTGTTTTCCTTTACAATATTTTAATTGTATGAACTGTTCTAGTTCTGCTCACTTCACTCTAAATCAGTTCATATAACTCTTCCCAAGTTTCTCTGAAATTGTCTATTTTATTGTTTCTTTCATCTCAATAAGATCCCATTATATTCATATATTTCACAGTTTATTCAGCCATTCTCTAATTGACAGGCACCTACATTGTTTCCGGTTTTTTGCTACAACAAAAAGTGATACTATAAATATTTATACATATGAATCTTCTCATTGAAGAATCGTTTTATAAGCTACATCAAGGAGGTGAAGATACTAAAAGGATGGGGAAACAATTACTGATGAGATTACTACTAAAAAAAAAAAAGGTTAAGAAAACACCAACAACGGCCAACCCTTGAACCTCCTTTCTCATTTCATTAAGCCTTGATGAGATTACTCCATACATGTATGGAGGGCATACTTGATGAAAATATGAGAAAGGAACAATTAGTCTTGCACAGATGATTCTACTGTTAACATTTTGCTGTCTGAGAAAAACCCGTTTGTCTTTTTCCTTTTGTAATATGATTCAGCAAACACTAGGGGGAGCTGTGGGTATCAACCAACTTAACTATTCCTCTTGGAAAGGATTTCAAAGATGTGGTTATTCATTATCCCTTAGCTCTGCTCCTGTATGGGTGGTGCCTTTATTGGCATCTTCTGTTCAGTCTAGGGATGGGAATTTGTGGTTCCACCAATCCAGACCCTTGGCTGTATTTGCCCCCTTTACTTAGCCAGTTCCCATTTATCACTTCCATTGAATGTGCCTCATTAATTCATCTCTCCTGAAATTCTTAATTAAAAAAAAAGGTTTTATTAATGGCTTTTATTTTTATATGGCAGTTGTTTCCAGATGTACTCCAACCCAACTCCTACATCAAATTGAACCCTTCTTTGCAACAAAGCTGAACAGTTAAACAAAAATAATTGACAATGATCCAACTGACAGCATATACAACATCCTGCCCCAGTAATACAAGCCTCTCAGCCAAAGGAGACAGGTCTGTTTTATGATCTGTTCTCCAGGAAGATCATTAATTTATTGGGCATTTAATGGGATTAGATGAAAGGTAATAAAAGTAAAAGCATTACTTGCATATAAGTTAGAATATACATTCCATTTAGTCCCCTGCCCCTCCCAAAGGCAGAAACTCTTTAGGAGGTGAAGCCTTTGTCTCTTGTCTCTCTGCCCAGGGATGAGAGCTAACTTGGCAGTTTAGTTCTTTTAGTTACCCCAACTTGGGGGCCAGGCAAAGATCATTTCTCACAAATAGGGCTACACTGATCCATTTAGGAATATGAGGGGCCTCTGGTGTCCCCCCCCCATCCCAAAGGCTGCAAATGCTAGGTCAAGGAGTGAGACAGCTGGGTTTAGTTTGTTTTTTTCAGGATCCTCAGACCTTAAACTCCCTCTCTTGACTTGGGTATTCTCCCTGTATATTTGTCCTTTCACTGTCAAAAGTAGTGGTCCATTGGGTTCCTCCACAGGGGCCTGCAAGCAGAAACCCTTCTAAGGCAAACAATGTAAGTAGGTGGGGGAGAGGGAGGGTGGTAGTTGCTGTATGCTCTGTCACTATTTTCCCCCTCCTTCATCTCTTTGAAAAAAGCCCATGCTCTGGGAATGTGCCTTGTGTGCCTTCGTGTTTTGCAAGTCTATCAGCTGGGGTGCAATAAGAATCCCTAACCCCACTACACTTTTGTTTCTTTAAATCTAGAATTTTGCAACTCAATTAGCACGTCTAGGTGGAATGTTTGTTACAAAAAGATTCTGTTAAAAAAAAATGTGCTGCTTCTGTAATGGAAAACACTGTTGTTTTAATTTTTCATTTCTGTTCCTTACAGATGGGGAGATCACTTCTAAACCAATGGTACTTTTCCTGGGACCGTGGAGTGTTGGCAAGTCTACCATGATAAATTATCTCCTTGGGCTCGAAAACACTCGTTACCAGCTTTACACAGGTAACTGAGGTCTCGTCTTATGATGTGTTTGTTAGTGGTTTGAAAATTTGTATTTTTTTAAATTAAAATTTTCTTAAGAAGCTACTATATACGACAGACTGTGTTAGGCATGGGGGATTACTGGCATGTGTTTAGCATGGTTGAGGCAGAAAAGTTGACTCTGCAGAGGCTATTTGTTTGTATAATCAACTTGGTTCCTGGAGCCCCAAAGGAGGCTAGGTCTATTTGGTGGCCAAGCTAGATATGGCAGCCTTGCAGAGATTCTTAGAAAAGACCTGGGAGCAGGAATTATCTGACCTTCTACCAGTGCTGTTAATTAAAAGAAAAAAGTAAATGCCAAGGCTCTGCCATGACAAAAGAACCATTGACAACATAACCATTTTGAATTGGCATTCCAATACATGTATGTCTGACTTTATGGACCAGTTGGACAGAAGTGTTGTCTGTCATTCACCCAGATGGACTTCTGGGAAGCATGTAGTCTGGTCTAGCTATGAAGGAGTGATGAGTGGAAGTTGGTTTTCCAGATCTGGTGCCTCTTACATGAAAATATCTAATAGGTTATGTCATTAGGTTGTGAAATATTACCCTAGTTATTCAGAGATTCATAAATTTGGTGACCCGATGAACTGGTATGCTTCAACTCTTTTTTGATATATGAAATAGCTCATTATGTAAGCTAAAGTGGCCAATGTTGCTGTGGGACACGTTCTGTCAAAAAAAAAAAAACCAAAAACCAACCCCAGTTTTAGAGATTTAACAGATCAGTCACCTGAACAGACTCCACCCATTACCACACTGCCATTAAGAATTATAGGTGGTGAACCACAATAAAAAGACTGAAGTTTTGGAGAATCAAGTCCAGCCCTACAAATGGTGTACTTTCTGACACTTCCTGCATGTTGGCTTCCTGAGCTGGATGCTCCAACCCTGATCTCTACTACAGCAATCTGTCTCCTGAACTCCTGACTTAGACCTTTGGGTCTTGGTGCTCTAAAACTCTCTTTCCACCAGTTCCCCTCTGCAGTACCACTCTGGCCTGGCTTTGGGATTTTTGCTAACTTTCCTCCCAATTCAGACCCTACCTGATGCTAGTCAGGAATTGCGTTTTCTTTAAGGAGGTCAGTCAGGAAGCTATTGTGTTTTTTGTTTTGTTTTGTTTTGTTTTTTAGGCAATTGGAGTTAAATGACTTGCCCAGGGTCACACAGCTAGTAAGTGTCAAGTGTTTGGTCTGAGGCCACATTTGAACTCAGGTCCTCCTGACCTCAGGGCCTGTGTTCTATCTACTGTGCCACCTAGCTGCCACTGAAGCTATTGTTAATAGATAAAGTGAGAGGCTAGAGGTCCAGGACCAGAGTGGTGACAAGCAGAATGTGGAAAACAAGAACAGATATGAGAGACAAGACATTGTGGCAGTAGGAATTACAGGCTAGTGACTTCTCAAACACAGGAACACTTTTTAATGGCAAATATGGCCTTGGAATGCCTCCTATAGTCACCTCCATACACATAGAGTCCACAACACCTGCCATCACTTCTTCTTTGTGGCGCAGGTGCTGAGCCCACCACTTCTGAGTTCACAGTCCTCATGCATGGCCCTAAGCTGAAAACTATTGAGGGCATCGTCATGGCTGCTGACAGTGCTCGCTCCTTCTCGCCCCTTGAAAAGTTTGGCCAGAACTTCCTGGAGAAGCTGATTGGCATTGAGGTTCCTCACAAGCTTTTGGAGAGGGTCACTTTTGTGGACACACCGGGTATCATTGAAAATCGCAAGCAGCAAGAACGAGGTAATTTGGGTGCAGGGTGTGTGGGGACAGGGAGAATGGGAATACTGCATCAAAGTATCACAGATGTCTAGCAGGAAGGGACCTTGGGGGGAGTGCGATCTAGTCATTTCATTTTACAAATGAGGAACCTGAGACCCAGAGAGGTCAACAGACTTGCCCAAGGTTAGACAAAGATGGAGTCTTCCTGATTCCAAGACCACTATGTCACACTGTCTCTCTGTGTCATCTGGTGAACCTCTTGGCAATTGCTGAGCTGGAAGATGATGTGTGCCTCATCAGCCCAGACCATAGAGGTCTGGGCCTCTGCCCCTGCACTCTAGGGCAATGTTGGTTCCAAGGCAGTCTATGCTAGGCCTTAGTGCTGATCTGATCTGAAGCAAGCCCTAGAGATCCAGTCTGGAGTTGTTAGTTTTGACCTGGAGTAGTAATTGAGATGTCAGGGTTCTAAGGGTCTTGGATTGAAGCAGACCATAGTTCCCTTTTTAAGTGAATTTATAGGATTGTAGATTTAGAGATGGAAGGGACCTTAGATGTTATCTAGTATAACCTTTTCTTTTTATAGATGAGGAAGCTGAGACCAAGAGAGGTCAAGTGACTTGTCACATGGTCACATAGCTAGAAAATGTTAGAGGCAGGATCTGAACTTAGGTCTTCCTAACTCCAAGGCCAGCACTCTATCCACTATTCATGTGGCCTTTTCAACTTGGCCTTTGTCCAACCAGGGACTGGAATTGAAGGGATTATGCAGGATGACATACTCTACTCCTTTCTTAACCCTCCCTTCTTCCCAATGGATTTGCCTTGATATAATTGCTTGTGTATACTCCCTGATCTGAACTGACCTCTAGAGTGGAGTTGGGGAACAGAAGGCTGGCGAGGCTGGCGGCATGGAAGTTCACTGTAGTGCCACCACAACCAGGGATCATAGGCAGATGGAACATGACTTCCTGAAACTGGTACTTGTGGGAATAAGTGATTAGGTGATACATTTTCACACTGCACACAGTGTAACTCCCCTACTCACGTGATGTAAGGATGCTGACATTGTAAAGATGAGAGAACAAAGCCATCTCCTTTTAGGTCTTCTTTTCCAGGTCCCCAACTCCTATCTCACACATCAAAGTCATTGCCCATACTCTCTCCACCCTAACTGCATGTTCAGAGGCCAGAAAGATATTTGCTTAAAAATAATATTTGCCTCCCAATAAATCTGTTTAATTTGTCAACCTGGAGAAACAGCTGAATTGAAGTTTTGGACACTCTTAACTCAGGATGAACACTCTATCGGAGACTTAGGCATTTGGTCAAAGTTGGAAGAGGTTCTTCTGGGTCTCACCCACTAGAGGGCAAAAGTTGATGGAATGAAAGAAGAAGCTAGAGATGCATTTAGGTTGTTGCAAAACTGTTTAGAAACCTAAAGGATATTAAGTGCTCTCATTTCTACACCAGTGTAATGGGGAAGTTCAAGGTGCTGAGGAAAATGCTAGCTTAATCTCACCTTTTGCTTCTTTCTTTCAAAGGTTACCCTTTCAATGATGTGTGCCAGTGGTTCATTGACAGAGCTGATCTCATCTTTGTTGTCTTTGACCCAACCAAACTAGATGTGGGTCTGGAGCTGGAGATGCTCTTTCGCCAACTAAAAGGCCGTGAATCCCAAATAAGAATAATACTGAACAAAGCTGACAATCTGGCCACCCAGATGCTCATGCGGGTTTATGGTGCCCTCTTTTGGAGCTTGGCCCCTCTCATTAATGTCACAGAACCCCCAAGAGTTTATGTCAGCTCCTTTTGGCCCTACGACTACAAGCCTGACACCCACTGGGAGTTATTCCTCAAAGAAGAAATATCCCTTTTAGAAGATCTGAACCAGGTGATTGAGAACAGGATGGAGAATAAAATTGCCTTCATCCGTCAGCATGCCATTCGGGTACGCATTCATGCTCTCTTGGTTGATCGCTATTTGCAGACCTACAAGGACAAAATGACTTTCTTTAGTGATGGAGAGCTGGTCTTCAAGGACATTGTGGAGGATCCAGATAAGTTCTACATCTTCAAGACCATTCTGGCAAAGACCAATGTCAGCAAGTTTGATCTTCCCAATCGAGAGGCCTATAAGGACTTCTTTGGCATCAATCCTATCTCCAGTTTCAAGCTGCTCTCTCAGCAGTGCTCCTACATGGGAGGGTGCTTTCTGGAGAAGATTGAACGGGCCATCACCCATGAGCTACCCAGTCTCTTGGGAAGCATTGGGTTGGGGAAGAATCCAGGTGCTCTCAACTGCGACAAAACAGGGTGTGGTGAAACCCCAAAGAATCGCTATAGGAAACCTTAATGCTGTGGAGTTTAACTGGTTCTTGTGTTTCTATTGGTGAATGAGCTTGTGTCTTATGTGTATGAGAAGCCCCGGTTTATTAACCCTTTGAGCCAAACTGGCAAGAGCTATTGTACAATGGAGGGCTTGGAGTTAATGGAGGCCAATCATGGGGCAATGTGCAAGGGCCTAGTAAAGAGAATGGAAACTGTGAATTAGAGACCTTTTTGTATTTGCTATTTCAATTAGGAGGCCCCATTTTCCCTATGAGCAAAACCAGAAAATTGTGAAGTAGGGTATAGTTGCTTTCCCTTGGCACTGACTTGGAGGGTCAGAGGACAGTTGGCATACACTGAAAAAAAGTTGGGATTAAAATACAATAGAAGCAATTAAGATTCCTTTTCCTGAAAAACTGGGGAGAGTGAGAATAGGGGCTAGAGAAGGGGATCCATGACCAGAAACCTTGCCCCCAAGCCAACTCCAGGACTTGGCTTGAAGGTCAAATACTGGTTTTTTTTTTCCCTCTATCCTGACCTTTTCATCATCAGTCTTAAAATTCAGAAGAAATATCACCTTTTTTTTTTTTCTGGCATCAGGAAGTATAGATACCTGGTGACCAACTTTTGGGTTGGCTGTGGGCAGGAGGAGGACATTCAAGGTCTAACCCCTTAAGGAGTTTGAATACAAGGATTGATTCCATGTTCAAACTCAACTCCAGAACCTGTTATCTCTTCCTTTGGGCCTTTCATTCACAGATTCTTTGGGTACCTCATGAGGGAATAGGAGTTCCCTAGGATAGCTGAGGATTAGATCATCCCTTCCTCAGGGACAAACTGCTTCTCAATATAGCTCACTGCCCAGGCCCACTGTGAAACCTAGTTTTTCTATCATGCTAGAGGAGAGAATAGGCATTCAGTATATGCGAGTAGTTTGCTTCATGTCATTCTTGGACTACCAGTCAAGCGAAAGCATGAGTAGAGCTCAGAGGGTTAATAGGTTTGCAGTGTGTCCTTGTCTATTGCATGTTTTGGAAGAGACAGCTAACTGAGGCCCATAGGCCTCCAAGAGGATGGCAGGGGTCATGCTCCTTCTCTATTAAGGACTTTTCTTTGGAATTATCTCTTGTAAGTTTTGGAGGAGACAAACTCCATGCTCCATCTGTGGGGGCTGTTGGGGGAAGAGTGATGTCTTCTGTGTGGTAGTTTCTCTGTCTTTCTTTTGTCCTGCCCTCCACACCCCCCCGATGTACCAACATCCCAAATTTAGGAATGATTTCCTTTGACTTAGAAAGCACTCAAAGTCAGAACCAATACCAGCTCTTCATTCATCTCAATAGCAGCTTCATGCTGACGTCCAGTTACAGCCAGCATATGACAGTGCACGTGCGAAAGCCATGGGCTATGGATAGAAATGTGTGTATAAATCTCTGTGTGCATGTGTGTGTGTGATGATGGACATAATCATATAGTAGAGGATGTATAGACAGACATTTTTTGTTGAGAAAATGCTGCTTGGTTGATTGGCCCCAAGGACATCAAGGGCCAGCTATCAGAGCAGAAGAAAGAAGCCCTTAGGTAAGATAATATTTAGGGTGGTAAGAGATGCATGGAAATGCTGGGGACCTGTCATGTGGACCATCCTGCGAAAACAATGGGCCAGCCCTGATCCTGGGGCGGATAATGAGGTTTTCCCTGCCTCCAAGCCAGAGTTCACCTACACCAGAGGGATAAGGAGGGGAGAAAAACTACCCTGGGCCAGAAAGGGAAGGCACAGAAGGTGAGACAATGGAATAGCAGCTCTAGAGACAGATAAACTGCTTCAGATGCTGACCACCTGTGTGACCTTGAGCAAGTGATTTCACTTCCCTGGGTCTCGCTTCTTTAGCTGGAAAATTACGGTGTTGGAGTGGATGCCCTCTGAGGTCCCTTTGAGCTCTATATCTGTGATCCGTGAGAACAGACAAGTCGTCTGGTGGGGAGAACAGCCACAGTGGGACTGGCCCATTCTCAAAGGGGTATCTCAGTAGTGGCTATTGCTTTTGGCTTTTCCAGGGCTGGGATGTGGGTATGGGCATAGTGGTGTGGAAAGGAGGTTGAAACTATTCCAAAGAAAATAATATATTGCTGAAATCCCTAAGAACTTGGTTTTACACAATTCCCCAGAAACCATCTGGTCAGCCTCCCTAGAGGTGATAGTCTTAGGGTTAGAACTGAGGGCAAGAGCTAAGAGACAGAGGTAGAAGGGCAGGGAAAATGCCTGGTAGAGGGCAGACCAGAAAGGAGGTCCCTGCTCAGCCCAAAATGGATACAGCCAACCACAAAAAGGCAGACAGGCCAACATCTAGGGATATCTTGAGGGCCTACTTGTTGAAAAGACACAAGGTGACTCAGAATAAAGAGGAAGTTTGGAGTTTGTCCTAGATTTTTTTTTTCTATTTTTCTTCTTTATTCTTACCTCCTCCTTCCTCAATGAGCCCTTTTCCTTTCTAATGTTCACAGGAAACTTCCCAGTGTAACAATTTTACTCACTATAGAAGCTGAAGCAAAAAAAAAATATGGCAGAACAGTCTAGGTCTTGTCATAGATGTGGATGTCACTGTTGCTCTTTTTTTTTTTTTTGGTAGAATAAGGCTAATAATAAATTCCTACACTGTTTATACTTCCAAGGGCTACATGATCAATATGTTTTTATGTCTTTCTCCCTGCCCTACCTCCTGCCTTTTATTTTTCCTTTATTCTACTTTTTCTTGTTCTTTTTCTCTTTCTTTCTCTATTTGTATTCTGTCCCTCTCCTATCAGGCCATTTAATCAGTCACTACATATTTATGGAGCACTTACTGGATACCTGGTATTCTGCTAGGCCCTGGGGAGTGGGAGAAGGTTGGGCTTTAAACAAAGTTTTAATTCTTCTTTGGGTATTGGGGTATAGAGAAATCTACTAGTACCTCCTGATACCCAGTTTCTATCCAAATCTTGTCCTTTTGCAATGCTCATTCAATTCAGTCTCACATAACACACATTCATTAAGCAACTACTATGCATCATAAGGCACTTCTTCCTCCCTATCACATGGGTTGTTGGTAAGACACAGAATCACACAGTTCTTAGATCATCTACAAAAATTTATTTATCTATTTTATTTGATACATGATTTTCATCTAAAGACCAGCCAGTTGACATGCTACTACAGGAATTGAACCAAATGGAAGAATAAGAGGGAGGCCTCCAACTCACTGGGTGAGTCCTCTGAGGGGGATTTATAGAAGGACAATGATGGGAACTGTACAGGATGAGAAGGTGTGGAGAGGCTGTGATTTGCACCCACTATTCCGCACATAGATGAAGTGTGTGGGAGACATAGCTAGATACTGTTCTGTTGATTACATTCAGGAAAAAGTTTTAGCTTAGCATCTTGTATCTTCTGATGACAGTTCAGGAGGGCTATTCATTTCCTTTTGAAAAAGGTGGTCTGGTCTGTTTGTTCCTGGTTGCTTGGGTAGAAACATCAGTGGATAGGCCCAGCTCTCAGCAGAATTGTGAATTCAGCAGTCTGTATTTAGGAAATTTCCCTGTCCTCTCCTCTCTGCCCCTCCACTCCACCTTCTCCCCTCTTGGGTTCCACCTTATCAGTTGCCTATTCTGTATGACAATTCTCCTGGCCTTGCTTTCTGCTAGTTAATTCTTACTAGAGTGTTAGCTGATATTTTTTAGGTGTTCCACTTCCTTGGGATATTTGCATTTTAGTAGCTTGAAAAAGCTTTCCAGACCAAAAGGAATTAATTTCTAATGGTGGAATTTTAGGCACTGTGACAGGTTGGGGAAGAGACTTCTGGGAAGAGAGCCTGCCCCAAATACCTCAAATCATACCCACTAGGCAGTGTCCCTCTCTTCCTTTGCCTAAGGTAAGCCCTTCTAGTGGTAACTGTGTGCAGCTGAGTTAGAAGTTTCTGCCTATGGTGGTAACATGCAAGGACATCATTTCCCATTGACTGCCTCAGGAGGTAACTATCCTAAGCCATACTATGAAGAGTCTGGCTTAACTATTGTATTTGGCTTTAAAGAATTAGCTGGTGATCCACAGTCCTAAATTCCTTTGTCAGTGGCATTTGGGCAAGAATCCTATTTTGCTCCATCCCAAGAGAGACACCCAGAAAGCTGTAGAGGAAAGACCATTGGATTTGAAGTCAAAGGACTTGAGTTCAGATCCTGGCTCTGCAACTTGCTCTTTGTGTAACCTTGGGCAAGTCACTTTACCTCTAGGGGACTCAGTTTCTTCATTTATAAAATGAGGGGGTTGGATTAGACTCTAAGATCCTTTTCAGCTTTAAATCTTATGATCCACAATGGACTGGGGTAAAGTCATAGTATTTTACAGATATTGTGTATGACAGCCACTTAAATAAAATTACGTATTTGGCAAACCCACTTGCGTCATGTGTCTATCTTTCCAGAAAACAGGATCAACATATAAAAAATTCATGTGTGACATATGTGGTAATCTTCGGGGCTACTAGGAAGGTCTCTGCTTATCTCCTCCTTCCCTCCCACCTCCCCTGACCAGAAACCTTCCTTCTTACTCCCTGAAAGAAGCTGAGTGTTTAAGTGACATGCCCCAATTTAGAGGAAGAACTGGGACGAGGACCCAGGTTTCCTAATTTCCGTGTAATAAATAGCTCATTCCATCGCACAAGCTACCTCTGGTTCAGCCTACAATGTCATTACACGAGGTTGTGTCTGCAATCTTTTTTTTTTAAAGGCAAATCCTCTTTAGGGAGGGAATTGTAGACCCTTTCCTAAGAATGTGTTTTGATAGGAAAAGAATAGGAGAACACTAAAAGCCATGGTAGAGAGGATAGAAGGTCAATGAAATGGGACTAGAACAGAAAAAGGACTATCAGGAGCTACAGATAATTTTCTCAGGGCTTCCCAATTTTCCTAAGTGCTGCAGGTAAGAAGACCACATCCAAACTGCTGTAACTCAGGAAGCAAGGAAAATTGCATTTTTGTGGATTTTTCTGGTTCTTGTAGGCTATATTCTGGGCCTGGGGGAGGAAAGCAAATAGCCCAGTAACAATCGTAATTGCTGTGCATCAAGTGATTTAAAATTTGCAAAATATTCTGCATGTCTTATATCATTTGACCCTCATAACACCCTTATGATGTAGGCACTAGAGGTATTATGATTCTCATTTTACATTTGAAGAAACTAAGGCACAAAACATTTAGTGATTTGCCCATGACCACATAGCCAGTAAGTATCCAAGGCAGGAAATGAACTCAGGTTTTCTTGACTCCAAGACCCACCCATATCCACAATGTCACATTGTCTTCATTAATTGTCTATTTGCTCAGGGAATGGATCAGTTTGAATTTCGTGCTACCCCTTCCAATTTTGCTCTTCCCACATGCCTAGGAGTGATTCTCAAACTATCTTGGCAGTTAATACCCCCACTTTTGACTTAGTCCGGTTTTTTCTACCCTACTCTACCAAGTAACAAAGTTATATGAAAAACATATGAAGAGACAAAAGATATGTTGGATGAGACACTAGGGAGTCCTGGATTTGGAGTGTGAGAATCTGCTGAATTTTGGCTGTGTTATTTACTAGCTATGAGACATTGAGCATACTTATGCTCCCTGGGCCTCAGTTTCTTCAGTCTGTTGGACTCTTTATCTTTGGTCCTTCTCAACTCTAAAATCCTATAAACAATGAAGTTGGTGTCAATTTTATTAACTATCATAAGTTGCACCAGACTTTGCCATTTTGTGAATGCCTACAGCCTCATGAGTAGCATCAGCAACTGCTCACTTCCCTCAGTCTCATCCTTCTTAGACCAGGTTAAGGAACAGGGAACAACCTTCAGCATAATCCTCCTCTCTTTCAATAGCAAATAAAGAAGCTGGAAAATCCATTCTCCTAAGTGGAAAAAGCAAAATCTGATTAAATTCTGTTCCTAGCCAGAGAAAATGCAAGGCAGGCATAGCTGGAGGGTTATCTGTAGGGAT